ATTTTAAGCAAAATTTTGTATAATAAATTCCAGGCAAACTTGTGGTCAGCTATCTTACCCATGAAGATGAAAGTGTTGCAACAGGCTATCTAAAACTGTATCAAGAGGATGATATACATATTTATAAACATAACGTGATTCAAGGCTAACAGCAGGTGGGTTGATCCATTCGAGTAGCCAGTGAATCAAAGAAAATATAATGAGACTGAAAGATAACATTAATAATAATATAACAGTGTAAACTTGCCATATCTTCATAATGATTTTACAATAATTTTGATGTAATCCATTTAAATCAGAGCTTAATTCTATTTGAGGTGAAGGTTCAAGGTTTGGATCATATTTTTCAAATACTAATTCCATAGCGTTATTGATGTCATCATATTGCTCCGTTGAAAATTTAAATAAGTAGTCATTTTCAATACGTAAAATAGCATTCTTTGGATAAATAGACTTCCAAATTTCGCTGTTGAAATTTATTATAAAGCAATAAAATGGGTCGGTTATGGGGAGTTCTAGTAGTTTTTCCTTTATTTTACCAAGATCTTTTAGCTTTTTAAAAAACCATTGTGGCTTTGTATCTGTCTATAATTTAAATAAATATTAATAAAAAATATTAATAAAATAATAAAACTAAAGAACTTACTGGAAAGTTCATATATGATTCGATAATTTTTTCTTTTTTTTTAATTTCTGCTCGTAGAAGAATTTCTTTAATCTAAACTTCTGAAATATTTTTCAGATAATTTATGATAGTTATTAGTTGTGTTCTATTAGTGCACAAATATATAGCAGTCTGCACATTTGATAGGACATCTGTATTGTTATGTTTTAGATAAAAAAAAAATAAAATTCCGTATATAATTAATACTAACGCTAAAGAAATTCAATCTGGGATTGTGCTTGAAATCTTACCAACATGTGAGAAATTTCATTGTTACGTTATTGATTTTATTATTAAAAATGCATCAAAAACGAAAACTTTAAGAGTCTTCAGCCACACTCTAGACAATAAAAAAACAGTGTTATTACTTCAAAGAGTATGACTATGTCATTTATTTTTATGTCTGTTGTATCATTTTTATGATTAGACTAGTTCTCACATATATGTCTTTACCCCTTTAGTAGTGTGATCGGCTCAAATCTGAATTATGATTATCCAGATGAATATATATATCTTTATCAGTATTAAGTCTGAGAGCCGATTATTTTGAAATGGATTACACAGGTTCCGTAATATATGAAACTTTAATTAATTAACTACGTTATAATAGTGACAGAGCAGTGTTAGAAATCTTGAGAACATAAATTGATAATTTTATGTTCTCATGAACATTTTAATGTTTTTAGTGATATAAAAAAGAGAGAGAAGAGAAAGAGCAATTATATATTTCATATATATCATATGAGAACATAAATTATAAATTTTATGTTCTTGGTTCTCAAAAGAGAACTTAATTTTTAAATACAATGTTCTCAAATTTTTTTAAATGTTCTTGAGAACACTGAGAAATTAGATCTCAAACACTATGACAAAGAACAATGTAAAACCATATTATTTTTTCAAATAAAATAAAATATAAATGTACAGTCATTTCTTATATCTAATAGAGCATTTTTTAAAAAAGAAATTGTTTAACTAATTTTGAAATAATGCATATTCATTATTAAACCACATTATTAATATAGGATAAGGATAAATACAATTAAAGTAAAAATTAATGAAGCTTTAGGGCTATAATTTGTTGCATAACTTAAGTCAAGATTAGGTCCTAAATAGAATTTTAACTTTGAAAAAAAGATTTTTTTCAAAAATCGCATCCTCTACTTAATTATTTCACATAATTTAAAAATTATTTCAAATCCATCGCATAATTGATTATATAAAGTTTATAAACTTAATGTCTAAAAGAAAATAATCTAGTTATACATAGATTCTTAGCTACATGATTATTTAATAAAAATTTAATGTGTCATAACTCTTGCGAATAAATGATTATGTAAAATACCTGATTTCAATTCTTTGTAAATCTTCAAATAATACAGCAATACTGGCATTGGCTTCCTTATATATATTTTTAAAAAACAAAGCATATTAATTTTTCATAATAAAAGTATCAATTAAAATCAATCCGATACAAACCTTTCGTATAATTTATCGCGTTTTTTTATATCGATTTCTTTAAGATAGCCTCTTAATTCTGAAAATGACCAATCAATTTCTTAAAAGCTCATTTATTATTTCTATTAAGAAATCTTGCATAATTGGTTGATATCACAAGATACTACGATTAATTTTTACTGCCAGCTACTAATTGCTAAAATAAACTTCTACTATTTATGGTGTATCATATGTTTCAATTGGCTTGACTATTAATTCGCTGCTATCTCTTTTTTCACTATCCTCTTCCTCATCACTGCTACTTTCTTTTGTACTATCCTCTTCTTTATTACTACTAATCTCCCTGGATTTATTATCCAAACGGTTATGAAATTCATCTTCAGTCTCTTCTTCCTCTCCATTACAACTTTCCTCTTCTTCCTCGCTACAACTATCGTCTTTCTTGCAATTGCTTTCCTCGTCATCTTTATCTATCCTGTAAAATTTCTTGTCCAATGAATTTAAAATATCCAGGTCGCTTTTAATTAACATTTTATATGTGTACATAATCTCAATTAATGATTGCACCTGTGCAAATGTTGAATTACATTTGTAAGAAAACGTGATTTTTCCAAAGTTCTTATTCGAAATAACGAATAAAATTTTTGATCCATAATTGAAAATTTAATAAGTGTTTCTAAAATTGTGACAATCATTACCAACTATTAAAGAAAACAATCTAGACAATACAAAATTTACTAACCATGAGCATGCATCAAAAAAACATTAATATCTTTAAACTCAGCAAGTTCTTTGTTTTTTCTGTAATATCTACGAAAGTCTTCAAGTGAGTCTTTTCCACATTTTCCCAACTTAATTTGATTTTCAATGGCATGAAACTATTTAAATAAAAAGGAGGCCCAGAAATTTCTCCAAAAAATAGTTCAACATTATATCGTGAATTTTCGCAATAATGAGTGCCAAATACATCAGCTTTCTTGATAGGCCCATCGCCATCAGAATTATTTCTATTGGCAGATGTATGACTTACAGCATGATCCCTAAACAAAATTTATTTATAAATGCAATTTTATGTAAATCATATACGATATTGCAATATACAATTACCATCGAATAAAAAGATCTTCTTCCATATCAGTTTCAATAAACTTCATTATTGCATCTATTGCACAATGTGACCAGGTAGATTCATTGATTCTTGGTGAGTTGTTTTGATATTCTCTTTTTTTCCATATACTACGACTTAAAATAAATATATTTATAAATGGATCAAACTTAATATAGCTCTATATTAAATCAATTTGTATTAATAAGTTAGTTAAATATATCACATAGGTGATAATATGAGTGACAAAATGGGAAAACCTTGAAATTTTATTTAATAAGATTTCTGGACTTTTCTTTTGTGACACCCATATAATATAAAGACATTTCGTAAGTGTAGCTATTTCTTACAGAATATCAAATATATAACTTACATTGAATCAATAAAGGTTCTTGTCGAAGTATATAAAGATTTATATTCATTGGGGATTCTCATCTCTTTTCCACTAAGGTACTTTCTAATAAAACTTGATAGTTTTCCTGGCAACGGTAATCTTGGAATCATTTCTTCAAAAATATTTAGCAAACTTGCATCATGCAATATATGCAAAAATTCAGGATTTCTTTCCCTAATTTCTTCAGTATCTAGAATCCCCGAAAGAATTAAATCATTTGGTTTTAAATTTAAATTCCAAATCTCTTGGCTTAAAATTTTTACAATATCGTTCACATTCTGTTCAAATTGCAACTAGTTAAAATAAAAATTAATTTAGATAAAGCTTATATTATTTGAAAATTTCAGACAAAAAATCTTTACTTTATGTATATTATGCTTAGCTTGATGTTCCATCATACGATCATAAACATCTTTTTGAATAAGATCACTCCAACCCAATGTGTGTGCATAGTCTGCTACAGCAATCCGTATTGAACATATTTATATTCTTTCTTTGCATTGTACAAATATTGCTTAAAAACTTTAAGATCTGCCTAATAAAGAAACAAAATAGAAATTAATTTTAGAATACGATGAATTTATCATTAATTAAAGCTTTAAATTCTATCAGACACCAAACTTATTAAGAAGGGTTCCCATAAAAATAAGACAATATGAATCAATATATCCTCTAGAAGAGAGGGCCATAAAGGTAATTATATTTCTTCAAGTCCTTCAGGTGGGTTCTTAAAGAAATGGGATGTTCGAATTTATACATCCTCTAGAAAGAGGGGCCATAAAGGCAGTGTATTCCTTCTGTCCTCCGTACACTCAAATTCATCACATGAAGAACATAAATTATAATACAATTATTCATAAGTCTAATACATTCCTCTTTCTTTTCATTCTTCTCTATGTCATGAACTTCCCTTGAAAAGAACAAAGAAATTTCTGAAATTATTGTCTCATATTTTTTGTTCAGATTTATTTGACTTTTGATAGCAAGAAAAATATGAAAGTCATAAGGGTGCTTCGGTTTTTCTTTAACAAAAGATAAGTAATTTTGAATGTGCTTTTCTTCATATTATGTATTTAGCAATAAAAGATAACCAACTGATAATTAGTGTTTTTTGTTGATCTATATGGATATGTTACACAAAACACAACCAATCAAAAACCATATTTTATAATATGTTTATTAATTCAAATTTGACTATAATCATAACTGATAAAATGATGATAAGTCTCTTTGATTAATAAAAATTTAATAATAGCGATATCGAGTAATATTCTTAAATCGATAACATAATTCATTATTTCTCTTTTTGAAGAGAGCTTTTTTCGAATGATTCAAAATAATGAGTTATTATAAAAAAATTTATACAGAAAGTATAAAAACGTAAGAAACTGTCAAATTAATTCTACCAAAATTATGATTACCAAAGTCACGAACTAATTCTACCAAAATTATAATTACCAAAGTTACGAATTAATTCTACCAAAATTATGATTACCAGAGTTATGAATTAATTCTACAAAAATTATGTTTACCAGAGTTACGAATTAGTTCTACAAAAATTATGATTACCAGAGTTACGAATTAATTCTACAAAAATTATGTTTACCAGGGTTATGAATCAATTCTACCAAAATTATGTTTACCAGAGTTAAGAATTTATTCTACCAAAATTATGTTTACCAGAGTCACGAATTAATTCTACCAAAATTATACTTACAAAAATTATGATCACCAGAGTTACAAATCAATTTTACCAAAATTATGCTTACCAGAGTTACGACCGGGGTAAAATCACCATCCAAAAAATTTTTGATAATAATATTTATAAGATATTAATTGATTTAGTAATTTTTTTTTCTTCGATTTTTCAAAATGCAAAGTGATCGTTTCAACCAAGTAATTCTTTTAAGGGCATGAAATTAAATATACATTGATTACCATAACCAAATTTTCACTAATAATAAACGAAAAAAAAGAATGAAAGTCGAAATAAATTATAAAAACTAATCAAGAAAATGCAATTGCACTAGAAAACCTTGTGACTTTATTTTTAATGCTTTCCAGAAGACTATAACTCTGATTAATTATTTGAGCAAGAAGTTTTATAATTCTGAATCCGGGACGTAACAAAAAAATTATTACCAAAATTATGTTTATCGGAGTTAAGAATTTTATTCTACCAAAATTATAATTACCAGAGTTCCAGAGTTATAAATCAATTTTACCAAAATTATGTTTATCAGAGTTACGAATCAATTCTACCAAGATTATGGTTATGAATTAATTCTACCAAAATTATCCAAAATTATAGTTATGAATAGGAATGGAAAATTACCGTAATTTTGCGTTATTTTACGAAATTTTGTGTAATCTTCAGAAATCAAAATTTCATGTAATTTTAATCAAGTCATAACGTAGGCCAATTTTATAATGCTGGTGTATTGAATCCGGGC